CCATGTAGACAGAAAATTCAGCTTTATCCCCTGCATTCAGTACGTACTCTTTGTGTAATTTTTAAAGTACCTTCCTCAGTCAAGCATTTTGAAATTTTAATCCAATCATGTTTTCTGTTTTAGAAGCTCATGCTCAAGCACAGGGCAGCAGCTTATTAATGGCATACTGGACACAAGCATGCAGACGCTTAAACTTATAAGTAACTTGTCATTTTAACCCTAAGAACCAATTCACATTAGATGGGCTGCAACTAGAATGGAGCAAAGTAATTTTAGAAGCCTGATGAACGCTCAGGATTGGAAACGTTCCTTACATGTAATGAGGCTACCAGTCTGTACTACTTTGGTATTTCAGGGACTAAATCCTTTAGGCTCCAAAGGTTGGTAAAGAGACTCTTTTCTAAATATACAGTTGACTTGGAAGATTTACTCAAGCTTGCTTCAACTGTTATCCTCGAGAACTGTTAAAACAATATAATTGTCAAACTCGTGTGCTGTTAATCCCATTTTTATTGTTAACATTTGCCAATGAAATTGCTCTTTAATTGTCTGCTCTGGAATAGACACATAAAATGTCATGACAGCAATATTTTGGCACATATTGGAAAATCTGCTATGAATATAGATTTTTTTTCCAATAAAATACAGGTTGCCCATATTACTTGGCATTATAATGATTTACAGAAGTAGGTCAAAACATAAACCACTGAAATAAAATGAAGAGAGATTAGAGTTATAGCAAAACCCAAAGGCTGATCCATCCAAATTCATACTTAAGACACATTTCAAAGCAATGTCTACTCTTTGGAAAGTGGCAAAGGAGAAAGAAGAATGCTTTCCATCCCGCTCGCCCAGCAACTCTGCACTCAAAAACCAAGCCACCAGGTCCTCCTATGATTGACTTTCTCCAGGAGCCCGCATTTATTGAGCAGATCCAGACTGCCTTAGAGTCGTAGACCCTGAAGGCTGTATGTGGGAATCGAGTCAGCTAAAATCAATGCAGGCTGCCTGAGCCTCCACTCCCCTCAACACAGCTGCCTTGTGCTGCCAGGGAAGCAGCACCGAGCTGCTGCGACAGCTCCCTTTTGTAAGCTATCAGCTACCTGGTTCTTCCCACCGCTTGGCCTGCCAAGAGTGGGGACACTTGCAGCTGGAACACAGGATTAAAAACATCCTGCCTGTTCTCTGGCCTGAATGTGGTGTTAGAACTCCTGGACCCTTAGATGAGACCTCTGAGACCAGCTCTATCTTTTAAGCTCCCTTCCCACAGTCCCTTTGGCTGATGTCAGAAGCCTCGCTGATGGAGTCCTACAGGTGACTCCCAGAATCCGGCTTTCAACCTGTTTCAAGTTTCCAGTATAAGCCCATGACCCTAATCCTGATCCTCTCCCAGACCCAACCCCAATGGCCAGGCAGCAGAGGGGCTCAAAAAGTCTTCTTTTAAATAGAGGATCCTGATTTTTTTTAATTTTTAAATTGAAGTATAGTTTATGTACAATATTATATAAGCTACAAGTGTACAAGATACTGACTCACATCTTTTCAAGGCTATACTCCTTTTACAGGCATTATAAAATATTGGCTATATTCCCCATGTACAATATAGCCTTGCAGCTTACTTTATTCATAATAGCTTGTACCTCTTAACCCTCTACCCCTATATCGCCCCTCCTCCCTCCCCTCTCCCCACTGGTAACCACTAGTTTGTTTAGAGGACTGTGATTTTGAAGAGCATAAATTATTTGCAAAGCCAACAAATAAGAAAGAACCACAGTATAAAGCCCTGCGGGAATCTGGTCCCAAACTGCTCACTCCCTACCATCTCTCCACGGCTCTGGTGCAGGCACATTTAAGTACTCACCATCCCCAAAGCTGGAATGCCCCCTCTCCTGGTGCCTGCAGCACCAGGCCCTTGTTCAAAGGTTACTTCTTCTGTGAAACTCCTCTCCCTACACGGAGCAGAGCCAATCACTCCCTCCCCTGGAGTTCACAGTATTCTCTTTCTCCCTTGAGAAACCTCCTACCAAACAGGATGACAAATTTAGAATTCTGCTGCCTTCATTTTCACCTCCCTCCAAGCCTGCAGGAAAGACATGGAAGCTGACTGCAATTCCTGCCCACCAGAAGAAACAGCTTTGCTTTGTAATGAAAAACATCTAGGAGAGGATTCTTACACTGTGGGTAAGAGCATATCATACGAGGAACTCTAGAAAACAACGATGTTATAAAGCCCATTATCAGGCTCTAAGTACATCAAACCGAAGATGGAAAACAGTTATGTGCTAAGAGTGAAGAAAAAAATCATCAAGAGGTCACAGTGGACCACCAGCTAAACGAGTCAAATGCTGTTGTATTTTTTAATGAGTGGCTAAAAGACACAAGCAGTAGCCAAAGGGTCTCGTACAATCTTTTCATTACGTCTCGTTCTGATCAAACCATTGCTAGAAGCTGCTATATATATGCCAGACACCACCTAGGCCCTTGAACTTAGAAACCAAACCCAACTGAAGTATACACTGTGTTTTCTTGAATCCAGGAATCCATCAGTTCTAAGATACACCATTATTTTATCAAGCACTACAGAAGAAAAATGCTGCCAATTAAACTATGGCATGGTTTCTTATTACTTAGAATTTTCATTTGATTTTTATTGAAAGAGCTCTTTTAAACTTAGACATATATTTTTCTAATATATCGTTCTTGGGCACTAATAAAAAGAAAAATAAAACTGAAGTGAATTGGTTAAGGCAATGACAACCAGGTCACCTGGCTGAAAGCAACTGTAAAATGTCATTGGTTTGGGAAGTATAGCCTGGATTCAGAAATGTTAAAATATGAGGGGAAAAAAAAAAAGTACAGCATAGAATCAATAAAATATTACGTCTAGCTCGGTGACAAAAATTTAGAAAGGACAAGGTAATAGTTCATAGGATAACTGCTACAAAGATACTTCATTGATTAAAAATGTATTTATACAGAGAAAAAAGTAGTGATTATTCAACTCAAGAAAGTCAAAAATAGAATAGGGATTCAATAATGTTTTTCAAACACATCAAAAGTCCTGTCCCAAAAAGCAGTGATTTCCAACTGTTTTTTTTCTTTACTTTTTCTTAGCAGCAGGACCTCTTTTCAAAATAAGGGCCTACAAAACACTTGAGTATGGAGCTGTTCCGGCAGGAGGAAAAGCCTCCTCCCAGAAATGCCTCCGAGGTCACAGGGCTCAGGACAAGTTGAAATCCTGACCTGGAAAGTATATGTCACTTCTACGCACCCCCAACGACAGCTACAACACAATGACAGGGGTTTCAATGGTGGCATTAATCAGTTAAACATCTGCACAATATGAAGCCTTGCTAGGTGCTTGTTATACAAAGATTCATCACGTATGGAGGGGTTTCGGTAACATACACGGAAGAATTTTCCAGGTGTGGGATTTTAGACCTTGAGATGATTGCCAAAGGCTGGGTAGAGAACTTTCTATCAGTCACAAAAGGAGCTGTATTGACCTCAGCAGCTCAGAAGCCCTCCTGGCACAGCAAGGGGATGAGTCACATCCATGAGTTTAAGGTCCAGTCTAGCTCCAGCTCTCTCTGTCTGCAGCACCAAGTCTCTTTTCAAGTGCAAGCCAGAGGTGGCTGAATGTGGACAGCTTTGGCTCCTGCCCCCTGCCCAACCGTGCAGCCGAACCCAACATTAACGGCACCCGTGGCCCTCCAAAAACAAATCCAACTCCACAACGAATTAGCAAGTGATGTATCTCCTACTGAAGGTGGGAGATGCACATACCACTGGGAAAGCTTAAAAAATCCCCACTAGACAGCTGATGATCTCCATGGTTCTTCATCTCCTTTTTCTCCCTTTCTTCTCCTGATACTGCCTCTAAAATCCCCTTTGACTATTTGAAGCAATACAATTCTCTTAGCATGGCAGCTCTGGGTCATCTTGTTGTCACTTGAGCGTGCTTTGGGAATACTACCCATGCCCACCCCTACTCCCCGCCTAACTCAAATAGCTCAGCAAACCCAACAGCTCTTCACCAAAAAAAGGGCGATCTGCAGCTAAGAAAAATAACGTTTTTACCATACAGCCCTATCAGCACGCAAACAACTTGTAGATTAATAATTTAGGATGATTAAACAGGGCTAATCTTCCATTGGTAGGGTTATCAGACAATAACAGCTATTGCTCTACTGATGACCAAGGCAGGCTCGGCTGATCTGACTGCAGACATGTATGTCCCCCTCCTTTGTCCCTTGCACTGTCAGTCAGCTATGGAGGGAAACATTTTGGTAAGGGGGGGACAACCCACTCAGGTACAAGAGAACACTTCTTTGGCTAAGGGCACTCCCTTGCTATAAGTACCAACTGAGTTTTCAGCCTAATTCTCAGATTTCTATTTAGTATAAATAGGGATTTATCAGAAGTGAGAAAAGCCAACCCTACGTCCCATTTTATTCTCTACACATAGGAACCAGAGAGGAAAGGTCTTCTTTAACCGATGGTTTTCAATCAACTTGTGTTCTATGAATGGAAAAAATGGTGTACAGAAGCTAAGCTATTCTACATTCTGAAGAAGACAACTTCTGCCCATAGGCATAAAATTGTTGATCTGACCCAGTGATGACAAAGTCAGAGAGCTTCATGGTGAAAATCAGAAAATTCATATTGAAGCACAGTGATCGTCATTCTACCCTTCCTCCACAAACCAACCTCAGATACAGTATTCTTTCTATATTAGACAACATATTTTTTAACTTTATAGAAATAAAATGCAAAGGATTTTCAGAAAGAGGGCAGGTCATTAAACAGCATCCCTATACAATTTCAGAGCTAGACAAGAGCTCATACAAGGAAACTGAGGCCTAATAAGGTTAAGTGACATGATGGACACACAATCCTTCTGGGCAGAGTTAGGGTTAGAACCCAACCAAACAACGTGGTCAAAACTTTAAAAACTTTTAAATTTCACTTGAATTTCGGACGCACATTTCTTCTCTTACCAGAATTACATCAAAAATGCGTGGGATCAGTTTGCTTTCTTCCACAAGTCTGTTAAAAAATGAAAAGATAATTTATTAATTATTTTAAAATTATTTAAACTGCTACCCTGATATGGAGCATTGCAGCCCCATGTTTTACTGCTTAAATTCTGTGACCGGAAAATATTATGACTAAATACTCATTTTAATACACTGAACTACATCTAAACACAAGAAACATGAGGCTTCTTTGCAAATGACTATTAGCTTAGCCTCACTGAACTGTAGCAAGTAAAACCTCAGACTGATATTTATAAATGTAAAATTTTATTAAAGTTCACAATTATTATAAAGACTGTCAAAGTAGGCAATGCCAGCTGAAATAATGTAACCAATCCTCCCTGTGGTTAAATTATTAGCATGCCACACTGTAATCTTTCATATATGCCTCATTAGCTATCTTCTCAGCATTAATGATTTAATGTACAATGATTTTTAATGATCTTTTAAAAAAGGTAGACATCAATCACGCAATAGTTTCTAGGCACTTTCTCTCATCAAACCTAGTTATAAATTGTCATCTGTTTGTAACAGAAGAATTTTTTCATGCTACTTAAGGGAAAATAGCCTTGATTCAAAAGTGATAGTTTTTTAAGGACAATACTTCAATCTCTAAATATTCCTTTATTCCAGGGGTCAGTAAACTTTTTTCTATAAAGGGCCAAATAGTAAATATTCTAGGCGTTGCAGGCCACACAGTCTCTATAGCATCTACTTACCTCTGTCTCCATAATGTAAAAGCAGGCATAAATAATACATAAATGAATAGGCATGGCTGTGTTCCAATAAAATTTTATTTATAAAAACAGGCAGTGTCCCATATTTGGCCCACAAGCTATAATTTTCTGATCCTGCTCCAGTTTAAAAAAACAATCAGGTTCCTTAACTTGATTAGAATTTACTTTGTAGGATAAACTACAGCACTTAAGACAAGCATGTTGTTTTCGTTGCATGTATGTGTTGTTTGTCTATTTCACAGAAAACACCAGGAGGACAGGAAGGGAATTTATCGTCTGGCCTCCCTAGAGCTTGTTTGTCTATGATAATACATTGATGAAAGAAAAGCCTATGAGATTAGCCAAAAAAAAGATCACAGCGTTTTACAAATATCTGTTAAGGAAAAGTGAGATACAGAGAGAAGTCTCAGAGACTGAATCACTTAGAAAGCCCTAGCTCAGTATCTAGCACAAATAAACGCGATGATTTCTGTAGTCTCGATATATTAGAGGGAAAAGGTTTTGACCACAAATATTAAATTCATTTACATTCTCTCACTTTCCTGGGCAACTGAAGGCTCAGATGTGAGGATGGAGCTCCTTATACCATGCCTGGGCAGGACAGGAAATGCACAGACTCAGGACCAAGCACAACTTTACCTCAGCACATTCTTAATCCTCTTGCTCAGCTTCCTAGATGTTAACCATATCGTTTGCTAAATAGGTCTTTTTCAATTTTTATGATATATACTTTTATTAGGCCCAGGCTGAAAGAGCCAAGCACATACATCTCCAAGTGGCCCTAGCAACCACAGCCAAGAAAGTCACAGGGACACAGGCACCACTGCCTCCCCAATGGTACCTAGAAGTGACAGCTCCCTGTATCACAGCCTACCCCAACATTCAGATCCAGAAGCAGCCACTCACAACACCAGCCTTTCTGTGATGGTATTTTAAAATACATTCTATTACTAACATATGATCACATAAACGACCTTAATTCTTTCTTAAAAATTGCAACTAGTTCGTCTCCTGGTCTCTGCATGACGAGCAGGCTGGCCTGCACTACCTCTTGAGTCCCCTTCAAGTTCTAACACTTCGATCCTCACATTCTTCTGAACACAATCAACCAGAAAAATTTTGTTCTTTGATTTGACTAACACATAATTTAGAGCCACATCTGGTAAATAAAAAGGGAACTCAAGCTAAATAAAATCACTTTTAGTGAAAAAAATTTTTTTTCTATGACATTTTCTGTGACTCGTGAACTAACCTCACATGTAATCCCCAAAGCACTCTAAAGCAGGTATGGGACAACGGTGGCTGCATACACTTACAACTATCTGAGGCAGCATTTTTCCAGACCATGGGAAGTGACTGATAAGTGGGCAATGAGTTTACCGGCTATTGACTAGCATTTTCTTAATTTAAAACAATACAATAGAAAATATCCAAGGGTGTCACACACAGTATTGTCCGTGGCATTTTTATTTCACTTATAGGTCTGAATACGTGTACTGGGTAGTGACATAAAATGCATTTTGTTTTACTGTGAGCTGTATATAATATATCTGAAATCCACAGATTTTAGACTGCTTTAGAGACCATAGTTTTCAATATGTTCTTAAATTTTGATTTTAAAAAATACGTCTCCTTACTTTAAGCATCTCCTTTCATACCATCATAAGTCCAATCAGTAGCTCGGTTCTCAAATGATCAACCCTTGATGTGCTCTGAGTAATGGAGCTCTCCTGCTCTGACCTGGTCCTCTGGGGAGCAGCTCCGGTGCTCAGGCCTCTGTAGAGCAGGGAGGAGGAGGCTTACCTCTAAACAAAGTGGATGCGGCCGGTTCTCAGGGATTTATTCAGGCAGCAGGTCTTAAGTCATCACAGAGACTTTGGAAAATCATGCCTCCAAAGGCTATCTTATCCGGGGGCTCTGTTGTGGTTGGCCCCCATGATTTAAACGACCAGTATCATCTTACTACATGAGTCTGTTATGTCCTGAATTTGAAACGAATGAAATTTCTATGGTTTATAGACAGCCTGAAGGACAGGAAGGGAAAAGATTTATGTGAATTTTTTAAACCAAAAACAAAGTAGAGATCTTTTTGAACTTATCCCAAATCTTCAAAGGATTGTGAAGACAGTAACTGTAGACCAGTAAACTTTTCTTCCTTTATGTTAGCCATCTAAGCACACTGTATTTAAGTAATTCCAGATGATTAAATTGAAATATACTGCCCTTTCCAAATTCCATTCTTGGGACTACTTTACCTTGGGTTTTTTCTTGGGGAGGGGCGTTCTTCTTCCCCTCAACAGTGTAATTTAATGATAAGATTGTACATGGTGAAAGAATCTTCCTTACAAGGTTTTATTACAGGAGATTGTCTGGGACTTTGTATATCTGTGGTTTATGTTATTAACAAAAGAGGTGCTGTTTGAATTAGAAAATTTTGAATGAACTTATGAAAATCTTTAGGATACATTATTTGGCATCCTAACTCCCTCCTGTTCTTAAAGTAAATGTTGCCATTGGTATTGGGAAATTTTTAAACATCTATTTATTGATAAATTATTTATTGATAATTTTTAATTGATAAATCATTTATTGATAACATCTTCATGTATTTATTAATGCTTGATAACTCATTTAAAATACCATGTATTTAAATTCTGATAAATACTTAGTTGAAATTTATCTCTGGAAGCTATGAGCACAAATTTTAAGAAGATTTTATCATAAAATGTGCTAAATGATTACCAAAAAGATTAAAATGTATACTTTAAATAATAGGTCAACACTTTTGATGTAAGAAAGGACAATTGCTTTCGAGGTAAAGTTATTAGCGGTGACCTATGGAATCATGGCGGCCTTGCTTTTCTCTATTTTCTGGCACAATTACATTTCATATACTTTGAAAATAGGGCTAAATATAAAGTAAGCCTAGCAATATTTAGATATAAAAGACTAGTTGCAACACAGGAAAAATCTGTACAGGGAGATCACTCCCGTTCTGTTTAGAGAGCTATCACACTAGGTTGGGTTGAATTTCAAACCATTATTAGCATTCTTTAAAATTTTCCTTTAAAACTTAGGAGGTACAGGGAGAGGAAGGCAGAGGATCTCCACCTGCTCTTTGCTCAGTTTTGCAGGACAAAGAAAGTGGTCCCCAAAAGCAATAAAACAGGCCTACAGAGACACAGGGGTCCACCCATGGAACTGCACTGTCTTGAGTTTGCTTCCTCGCTTGAAGTTTTTATCTACCCCTGGGGTAGAGACCATACACAGGAAAAAGGGCCACAAGTCTAGAGCCCCAACAGTCAACCCTATCCAACAGGGACAATGTCCTCCCCAAAGGGCTTCTCCACACACTGTCTCTGCATTTCTGGAATCCATCTGGTCACACAGATCTTATTTAGTACTGGAGACATTTCTTCCTGGATACTATCTCAAGTTATGATTAACACTCTTGAACCCTTGTCATGGGCTAATCTTATAACTCAAAATCGATGCCTTTAAGCTCAGTCAAGTCAAATAGCTTGACAGACAAATATCATATGATATAGCTAATATATGAATGAATCACTTTGCTGTACACCTGAAACTAACACAACATTGTAAATCAATTATACTCCAATAAAATTTTTAAATGGCTTGACATATACATAACCAAACATAAAAACAAAATTCAACTTATATCAGAGATATATGCACAGGATACAGGGGACGAGACGTGGGGAAAACCTAGTGAGCCCAGACTACTGAAAAGAGGTGCTCATCAGCCTTGAAAGACAGGGGATTGGCCAGCTACAGTGTGTGGAGGAGCCAGGTGTGCCTACCTGGATACAATGGTGAGGATAATCGGAGAAGTCTAACTAGTAAAGGGACAATGTGAAAGATGGAGCAGAATGATGTAGCCTTGACCGTCGGGCTTAGAAGTTTGGATTGCACCCTAAAAGGATGGGGAGACTGACGAATTTTAAGCTGAAGAACGACACCGTTGGATTTGCTATTCAAACTCCAGTCTGACAGTAATAGGAATAAAGGAATTGGTGAAGCAGTGCAGCCTAGAACATTGCTCCTCAAAGTGTGGTCTGCAGACCAGAGCCAGTCTGCAAACATCCCACATCTATGACACCATAACGACAGAAACTGGCAAGATTAAGTTTTAATCTGTTGGATCTAATGATAAAAAAATTTGAACTTTGTGGCAGTTTTATAACAAGGCCCCAGCAACATATGATGACAAACAGAATATCTGCATAGTCTGCATAGTCTCCAAGGATCTATC